AACGCTACTATATCTAAAGCGTGTTCTTATTATATAGATACTATAGAAACGCCTCTATATCTAGAGAATAGTGCTTTTATTTAGTAGACGTAGTTTCTATATATATTAGTAGTAGTAGTAGTATAATATAGAACTATAATAATAAAAAAACTAAGTAGTAATAGTAATATAATATAAGAGCTATATAATAATAAGAGTAGTACTTTTCTATCTATAGCACGTAAACTAGCTATTAAGATTATTACTAATATTCTTCTCTACTTACCTCTACTAAGTCTAGTATAAAAGAAAAAGCTTTAAGTAAGATAGTATATCTAAAAGAAAGTACTAGTCTTTCTTAGCTCTACTACTAGAAGGCTTTACTCTTTAGTTCTTTAGATAAAAAGACTAAGTAGTTAGCTATAGCTTTTTTTAGCTCTACTAGTAGTAATAGTACACTACTATACTCTTACTACTATACTTTTACTACTATACTCTTACTATTCTATATATACTAACTAAAGTAACTACTATTTATTAAGTAATATAAATAAGTAGCTTAGTAGTAAAGCGCTATAAATATATATTAGTAGATAGAACTTAACTTAGATTATTTTACTTTCTTTATATACTTACTATCTAACTATAATATCTATTTATAGAGGTTCTAGATTTAATCTCTAGTCTATTTATTCTTTTTTTTTACTTTTTTTTTTTTACCTTTTTTTACTTATATAGAGTAGTAGAATACTTTAATTCTAGTAGTAGTAGAATATCTATATTTCTAAGTTAGGTAAGTAGTAGTAGAATATAATAAGAGCTTAGAAGCTTATTAGATAGTTACTATAGTAGTAGAATACTTATAGACCTAGAATAAGTAAAAAGTAGTAGAATATAACGCCTTATTTCTATTTATAGTATTATTATACGCTTAGGCTATCTTAATAGAAAGCTTCTTAGAAAAAGTATAGCCTAAGTTCTACTAGAGTAGTAGGCTTAGTAAGTAGAGAGATATAGAGAAGAGTATATATAAGGTAGTAGAATATAAGATAGTAGAATATAAGATAGTAGAATATAAGATAGTAGAATATAAGGCCTTAGAGGCTAGTAAGCTAGTTATTATAGTAGTAGAATATAAGGCCTTAGAGGCTAGTAAGCTAGTTACTATAGTAGTAGAATATAAGGCCTTAGGTACTAAAGAGCTAATTACTATAGTAGTAGAATATAAGACTACTAGTATATTATAGCTATTAATAAGAGTAAAGAGAAGTATAGTATTAATAGTACTACTAGTTACTATTAAAGTAGCTTACTACGTAAGTATAGTGCTAGCTACTATAGCTATTATTACCTACGTATACTAAGACTATATAAGTAGAGTATTAAGCATTAGTAGTACTAATAGTATCTACTAAGGCAGCTTACTATAAGTAGAGCCTCTAGCGTTAGTAGTACTAATAGTATCTACTAAGGTAGCTTACTATAAGCTAAGTAAAGCCTCTAGCGCTAATAGTGCCTACTAAGATAGCTTACTAAAAGTAGAGTAGAGCTTCTATCTTATTTTAACTTAGTATAAACTTAGAAGTATATTAGTAGATTAGATAGGTATAGTACTATTATATTCTTAAGATTATCTCTAGTCTTATTTTCTAACTCTTCTATATTACTAAGTAGGTTAATAATCTTATATTCTTTCTTTACTATAACTTATTCTATACTCTTTTTATTATCTTATAGTAGAGCTACCTTAGTTCTTATTTACTTAGTAGATTTTAGAGTTACTATAGAATTACTTTACTTTAAGAAAATATCTTACTTTAAAGATAGTAGCTAGTAAGCTAGCGTATAGTAGTAAAATATATAAAGAGCTTAAAGGCGTATAAGTAGTAGTAGAATATATAGAAGTTAGAGCGTATAAGTAGTAGTAGAATATATAGAGGTTAGAGTATATAAGTAGTAGTAGAATGTATAAAGAGCTTAGAGGCGTATTAGTAGTAGTAGAATATAAAAAGACTATAAGAGCTAGTAAACTAGTTTATAGTAGTAGAATACCTATAGACCTAATATAAGTAAGTAGTAGTAGAATATAATAAGGCCTTAAGGCTAGTAGGCTAATTATTATAGTAGTAGAATATTCTTATTATACTATAGTAGTAGAATACTCTTATTATAAGTAGTAGTAGAATACTTTTATTATAAGTAGTAGTAGAATACTTTTATTATAAGTAGTAGTAGAATACTTTATTATAAGTAGTAGTAAAATATAGTAAAGCTTTAATTTACTATATATTATATAATAATAACTACTTTTTTAACTAATTTAAGCTATTCTACTACTATTATATACTTATATAGCGTCTAAAAAGTATAAAATAATTTCTAAAATTATATAATAAAATTCTCTACTCTAATTAAACTATAATATAATACATTTTATAGCTTTTAAATATATTATATTTTATAGAATATATTCTACTACTATTATATAAATTACTTATTACTAAATATAGGTATATAATAAGTTGTATAATATTATATTCTTAGCGTTATATTAAATACAATAATCGCTAAACAGGCTCTTAGAGATCTAGCACTAAGCCGCTGCTTTACCGTGTCTTACGTTAATGCGTTTTCTTAGTTACCTTTACCTCTACAAGTAGTTAGCCGTCACTAAGACTTCTAGAGATAACTATACGTTCGACGCTTAACCTTCTCTTCTATACTTTCGAGACGCTCGTTACCTTTAACTACCATCTACTGCTCGCCATAGCGTTAACTTCATCACTAACTTCCCTTCTAGACTCGCTCAAGGTTATCGAAATCCTTAAGGGCCTGATCCTTGGTACCAGCTCCTAGCTCTTCTACGATGCGCTTTCACTGACATCATGTGTGAGTGAGGAGGTTAATAGTAGCTTAGGAACTCGCTGATCATATCCAGTCTGCCTGGGGGTCGGAGACGTCTGGAACGAAGCAATGGCTAAAGAGAATGAAGTGGAATTCCCTTAGACGAATGATGCGTAAAGTGGACCATTACTGTGGCTGTGGATGGTGACCCTCTCATTATTGGGTTGATTGCTCGACAATCGTCAGCCGGAACAGAGAGACATACACTTTCAGTAGAAGCAATAGGCCTTCCGAGGTAGCAAAAGACGGATCTTCACTTACCTCGAGTTTCATCGTTTTCTTCGTGTTTATCTTCATGTGACCAGAGTTTTGGTCGGTCGCAAATACGATGTGCGTGCCGAAAGGCGCCCGCCCAATGCGCGTCATTAGAGCTTGGCGCACACGCAATAGGAAATACTACATTGAGGGTGAAGGTGACTCCGAAAGAGATTGTCTTGGCGCATGGATAATTCACAAGAAGTTTTCCTCTCTTCTGCTACGCTTCTACACTCAACTCCACATCTTCCCGCAGCACCAGCAAAGATGACTCCAGAACAAGAGAAGCAGGCCCAGGCGCAGTACGAAGAGAACCTCAAAGCCGCCATCATCTGTATGAACTAGCACTGTCACCTCCGTTTACATCGCTAACATGATACAAAGCCCACGCCCGCGTTATCTTTGGCCTCGAGTACTCCTTGACCGACGTCGTCAGTAGCGAAGTTCCACAAGGCTTCGTCCCCCACGTCATTCACTATCCCAAGATAAAGTCGTACCGGGGCGGGTTCAAGAGACTTTTGTCTTCTAAAACATGCTCCGGGGTACCAGAAACCTACGAAAACCTACTGCAGTTTCTTCGTTCTAGGATGGCCGCTACGATGAGTACTTAGGTAAGTAGGAGAGAGTGTGAAGATAAGGACTGGGGGCTGACAGCGAGTAGAGGCGTAAAGGGACAAGGACAGCAGCGGGCAGTGAAATGCGATGGACTCAGCGACTGGGGCTTATGGCTGCCATGGACCGTCAACCTAGGAAAAAGTCGAATAGGTCTGCAGCCTACATCGTCTTGGAAACATGCGAAGTAGGTGGCTTAAATTCGATGTAGGCTATAGGCCTGTTTAGTTTTTTTCTTGTTTGAGGGTGCAAGGGTCATTGAGATCTTAGAAATGTCTACTAACGCAGTCATTTGGTCTCGTTATCTGCTCTGACGAAAAGGCTTTTGCAGGATTTGTCTGAGATTTGCGATTTGTGGTCACAACAGTGGAGCTCGGAAGACGGAAAAGAGGCCATATCAAGTGAAGGTGAAGTCGAGAGCGCAAAGAGTCTTGGCGTAGTAGCTTGAGATAAATTCTCTACTTTCTGCTCTCTGTTCTCTCAGTAGCACAGTCTTTCCTCGAAACTACCCCCCAATCCAATATCTCACGCGACAAGATCCAACATGTCTTCTCCCATCATCGAGCAAGAGGCGTTCAAAGCCAGCATTCTGTGTACGTTTCTTGTAAGTATCACTCATTTATACGTGACTAACTTGCCCACAGCCCATGTCCGCGCCATCCACGGTCCAAAATACCCTAGGGGCACTGTATTTGACGTAGTTACGGGATGGGATGGTGAAGAATATTTGCCCTACGCCTGCTATGTCGTCGTTTACCTTGAAACCAAACCTTTCAAGGCAGGCGAAGTCGCGTCCGCCGATTGGTCCCCAATCATGGCATCGGACGATGCGGACACCGTGATCCAAGGCTACCAAAATATCCTCAACAAACTGCGGCTTAAGATGCATAGAGTCATGGGTAAGTGAAGAAGCATAGATCCTGATCGCCATTCGCTGACTAGGTTTAGTTGAGGCATACAAGAAGAAGCGCAAGGAGTGATCCGCGATGAACTTGCCGACGCTGACTTGGTCCTCTCTGTAGGAGGAAGGATGTTTCCGGTTTGCTCAGCGGTCGTCATGGGAAACTTGGGAAAGGAAAGCCAGCTTGACACATGTAAAACAACTTGAATCAAGTGAATACGAGTGAATGCATCTAAAGAATCCGGTCTCGCGTCTTGGCACACAAAATACCTATAACAAAGTCCCGTTCCCTGCCGTCTATTTCCTCTATCTTACCCTCACGTCTAAACAACCGTCTACGAAAGCAAAAATGGGAGACTACAGTCCGGTCATGCACGAAGAGGCGCTTGTCGCGCGCATACTGTGTAAGTCTGAACGAAATCAACGTGTCTTTTTCTCTGCAGCTAACCTATTCAAAAGCCCAAGCCCGCGCTATTTACGGCCCAAAGTACCCCTATGGCTCTACATTCGATGTCATCTACAGCAGTGAATCTATGGGCGACGGCGACGGCGTTGTCTCATGGCTCATCGTCTACCCGCAACCGGACGCCGCCGTTTGGAAGACTGGAAAGGCTGTTTCCAACGACTGGATTCCAGTCCTAAAGTCAGAGCGCATCGTCAAACAACGTAACCCCCATGCCTTTCCTCAGATGTCGCCTCTCCTCCTCCAAAGAAGCTACTACAATCTCATCGAGAAGCTGCGTGTCCAGATGGTCGAGACTATGGCTACAATGGGTAAGTATAGAAGTGCTATGGTGTGAGAGAAGCGCTCACTGACAGGTAGCAGAGAAGACAGAGGAGGCAGAGAAGCTTAAGAAGGACGACATCAGCACTGAAAAGTGATCGGCGCCGAATTCAGGGCTTGCGGCCAAGCTGTCAGTCGACTGATAGAAAGATACATGCATGGAGTCTCTTAGCTGGCAAGAATAGATAGTAAGAAACCGGGTTACCGCACTGGTAGATACGAATTTGGTAGGGTCGAAATGAAGTTGAAGATGAGATGTATGTCAGCGCTTCAGCCCACACATATTTCGCAATAAACCCTTTACTCTTCATAGTCTGCTTCTCGCTCTGACTCTCTCGTACTCCCACGCTGAGACCAAAACCCTGCGCAACGACAGCCAGAATGTTTGACAACTTCGAGGAAACTGGCGATCAGAATCAATCCGAAGAGACACTCAAAGCAGCATACATATTGAGTCTTGCATGAATACTTTGGCTGGATGTGGGCACTAGTGTCGCATTACTGCGCAGTTGTCGTCGCCAAATGCGGACTATTCGAGTACCGAAGGTGGAGGTGGGCCTGGGATTGTGTCTTGTGCAGTACCATGGTACCAAGATAGACAAGAAACTTTTCGCGCAACATCGAAATCCTCAAACTCCTACTCCAACAACACATCACCACCAACACAACTAGCTATCTTGAAAACATGGTGCTGCAAACGACACCCGGGACCTGGCCCAATCCCGACTCCGCTATACGGGAGAAAGAGATGAAGAAACAAATCCTGTGTACGTCGCTACTACTTCCCATTCACACCGCACACTTTAATAACTTACGATCAAATCGCAGCACAAGCTCGTGCCGTATATTCTGAACGTTTTTCATATGGCTCAGGTTTCGATGTCGTTCATAGCACGGCCGAAAGTCACCTCATCGTTTATGTCCCATCGGGCATGTATTCGGCACATGACTGGGAAATTGTTCTTTCGGTCGATAATGAAAAGAGTTTTTTGGGCGGTTTGAATACTCTCATGGGGGAACTTACAAAGCGGCTGGGTGATAAGATTGGTAAGCACAGTGGCCGAAGACGAAAAGCGCAAGAACTAACTGAGCCGTCCTGTTACAGAGCAGAAGAGAAAGGGTCGTGATCAAGTACCCGCGGAGGTTCGGGAGCGCCGCGAGGACAGAGAGGCTAGAGAGGCTAGAGAGGCTAGAGAGGCCGACGGCGAGAGAAGACGTCTCTAGTCCATTGCTTTCGTCACTACACATGAAACAGCCGTGTGGCACGATTGCCAGCCTTACCTAGGTAGTTCAGCTGCTAGATAGCAATGCTTCCATCGACGAGAAACTGCTATTTCGTGATCCGTTCCAAACCATAAGCGCGGAAGGTCCGTTCGAAGAGTGCCTGTTATCCCTGCTGCGGGCTAGTCACGTAGCTTAGGCCACAAGCGAGGAGGTGAAGGTGAGTTGCATTCTCCGCACCTGATAAGAAACTTTCCACCGCGACAACTACAAGCCTTCCACCTCCCACTTGTTGGATAAAACAGCCCCACGTATCTTCCAAGTTCGATATCCTTGTCGCCATGGCGATGTCCGATTACGAGACGATCATCTGGGAAGAGAAGATGAAAGAACAGATCAAATGCAAGCACTACCTATCAAGCTGCTATATGCATTGTCAAATACTGATAACCACTCTATAGCGCTTGCTCGCGCAATGTACACAGATAGCTTTTCCGCCACTGCACTCTTCGACGTCCTCCACACTACTGTCGATGAGTTTTCCAAATACCCTACAGTTACACACCACGAAATCCACCTCATCGTATACAAGTCGCCATCTACGAACAGCGGTTTAGAGTTTGTTATCACTATGCAGTGTGAAACTTTCACTCTGGGCCTGAAAGCTCTTCTAGGACGAATGCAGGGCCAGTTGGGCAGTAGTATCGGTAAGTTACCCAGCCGCCAGATTTAGATTCGTGTGCTGATCAGGTACCCTTTTACAGCATGGGCTAGAGAGGCCACAAAGAAGTCTCGTGATGAGATCATCCACTCCGATTCTGATGGATGCGCGATCAGCATCGGAACCCTACTCAGAGAGAAGCGAAACGACAGGATCAGACGTGCTTTGGGTGATCTGTGGGTAAACGTTCGTAAGTAGCGATAACGTTCCCATGCGCGAGAGTATCTCTGGATAAAACATTGGAACGTCGGAAGGGCATAGCCAGGAAGATACAACGAGTATTTTCCACGGTCTATATGTAGAAAGATGGACATGTAGGCGCCACTATCCAGATAGATGGCAATGCCACTCATCAACCATAACTTGCCATCGTGCGGACTACTTGACTTCCTACGCTCCTACTCTTGACATACCGAGCCACATGTCAGCGTCCGCCTGGGAAAAGACTGAAAATTTGCTCAGCGATTGTTTGCTGTCTCCGTTTCGGGCTAGCTCACGACCAGAGCGGTAGGTGGGAGTGAGTCGCGCTTTGCAATTGATAAGAAACTTTTCGCGCGACATTGACCTCAGTTCTTCTACCTCCCACTTCTGTAATACCTGCATTCGGGACCGCCATCACCAGGGCAAGAAACAAACACGTCGCCCCAGCTATGTCTAAGTACGAGACCATCATGTTGGAAGAAAAGATGAAAGAGGTGATCATCGGTACTTATCTTCCCGCCTTCCACATCCAAGATCCTCGATTCTGACGTGTTATTCAATGTCAGATCAAGCCACCGTTCTCTATGCTGAGGAGGTCAAGAAGTCGGATTTCCCCCTTCGCGTCGTCATCGCCAAAGAAAACAACCCTGAAGCTGTAGAAGACTACCTCTTCGACGTGGCGTACACTGCGCATGTCGTCGTCAACGTTACTGGTGTCAGCTCCGAATGGCTTCCTCTTGTGTCTACTCAGAGGAAGCAGTCTGTACATGCCGGCTTGGAGACTTTATTGGATATGTTGCAGGGAATGATGGCTTTTGTGTTAGGTAAGTCTGGCCCAGTTACTCGACTTCACAGCGCTGACGTAACATTCTCCACGTGTAGACACTAAGCCGCAGCCGACCGACAAGGAGCCGTACAATACGACAAAAGATCCGTTCCATTCCTACTTCGGGTTTGGAAACAATTTCTCCTGAATGACGTTCGAGGCGACTGCCGAACTGAAGGGCGTTGGAGGTTTCAATCCCAGACGAACACTACACGAGTAACCAGAGTGCCAGCAAGCATACCAGTCTAGAATACTATGTCAAAGACCATTCCGCCTCCCATTCTCATAAGTGCGCTCATCGACAGCTTTGACTACTACCATCTCCCACCCACTACAGTAAATCATCCTCATCAACCTTCTCCCCCCTCCTCCCCGCCAACCAAACCCTCCCACTCTCATACGCCCCCAAATACAACCCCGCGCCAATAAACGTCCAAACACCCCTCAAAGCACCACCTCTCCACAGCCCCTTAAACCCCTTCTCCTCTACAATCTCCTTGCCCACCGCCCAACTACTCTTCCTACCTTTCGACTGCGAGGACGAAGACTTCATCGGATTAAGTGTATCCACCGCGTCCTTCGCCGCATTCTTAACCGTGTCTTTCGTCCCCACCGCCTCCTTCCCCAGCGCATCAACTAGTCCACTCTTCCCCCCTCCACCACCCCCCTTCTTCCCTCCATCCCCCGCCCCCGGCCCCTCCGCAGCAGCGAGCATAACCCTCGTCTTAACAACATCCACCGGCGTCGTCAGCACCGCACTAACCGCCCCCGCACTCCCCGCGCTCAACGCCGTAATCCAGCCCATTTCAAATATCCCGCCCCTCGTTAGTCCCTTTTCATCCCTATACTTCATAATCCCCTCTTTGAGCCGCTCAAACATAGGGAACTGCATCGCGGTAAAAGGGAGGTTGCGGCCTGCGAGGGCGGTGTAGCCGCGCCAGAGGGCGAGGGGGTTGGATTGGAATTTAGCTGGACGAAGTCAGTCTACGGTGTGTAAAATGTGCATGGGCGGTTTGTGTGGTGGATAGTGTATAGTAGACAGTGGGGGCTTACCCAGCGTCTGTAACGTAGCATTCTGCGATTGAGAAGTCGAGGAGACCATCTGCGCGTTTTGCTTTATAACTTCTGCGGGGGTGAGGATGGCGCAGGAAACTAGTTCTGCCAAGGAAGAGGCAGAGGCGTGGACGAAGGCTATGGGGAGGATGGCTTCGTTTCTCGTATTCGTATTCAAACGTGTGAAAAGCGACTTGGTGTGTTCGTAGGTTGTGAAGAACGCTCCTGCTGATGGGGGTGGTTAGCATGCATACTTTCCCCCCTAATATCTAACTCTCCCCTTCCTTCGCAGACACCTTCTTCCTGTCCAAACGACATCTTATCATCCACCTCTTCGCCCATCAAACCTCTCCCTGACAATCATGCCATCCCCTCCTCTTTCCCCCAATCCCAACAAGCTCCCTCACATAGGTACTCATCCCACGCATCTCTGCTCTTTTCCTCTTTTCCCCCAAAACCACGTTCAGAAATCTCTACTTACAGCTCGGCAACGTAGCAACAATCACACTCCCAATCCCCTGATACACACCACGGAACAACTTCGGATCCACCTTGCCCGTCCGCGCATCCGTGTAGAGTTTACCATATTCCGGGCTTTGGATGCGCGTTTTTATTGTGTCGAGTGGGTAGACGAGGAGGTCTACTGTGAAGGCTGCGATGGCACCCGCCTTTCATTGTGGGTGATGTTAGTTCGGGATCTCTTGAACAGGTTCTTCGTTGTATTGAGGTAAGTAATAGAGGTGTGTGTTTCCATCTCTTACTCTTACTCCAATTCGATGATTCGCTTTGGATGGGACGCGATGTCGGTCGCATACACACGGATGCCAAATGCCAACGTCCACGCATACAACATTTTTAAACAAGAAGATGAAAAGAGACTCACGATCAAAATATCAGAACTCGTATTCCCCGCCATTGGGAAGAGTTACACAGGTCAGGCGGCCTGTCGATGCGAACAGTGAAGATCAGTTGTTTTCGCGGTCGCCAGGATTATTTTGAGCCTCGTAATCGATCTTCAGGTACATACAGGGTCCGATAAAACCTCATGCATGACGTCACCGATGATTCGCCGACACGAATTGGCAGCTAACGGGCATACACGACTTCACGTGCCGGAACTATAAGAACATACGCATGATTATGGAACGATATATCTATTAACTCTTGATTGTTTTGTGTACCATTTTCTTTATCTCGTCTCACAATTTCCATCCTCACCATGCATTCGCAACTCGTGCTCCAGAACCCCATTCCGCGCCAGCAGGAGCACCCACGATATCAAAGAAGAAGGGGTATATAAACCTAATCCCACCCAGGCACGCGTCCGTCGTACATGATCCCAAACCCCCATTCCCTAAACGCCCTAAAAACACTTTTCATAAAGACATATCCATCCCATCATAGATCGAACCTGCGATCATTTCCATTTCCATTTCCATCATAAAAACGCAAAGAAAAAAAGAAGGGGATACTACCACCACAAACACTAGAGCTTCGTATCCTGCCTATTAGAGTCGCTCAGCCTGCGGAAGGGCCCTTGCATCGTGGCACTAGGACCCGGCCTAGCACTACCCGCACGTGTAGCGTTACTCCCGGCGCTCGCACTTGCGCCTGCGCCTGCGGTACCTGGTGTTCTGGAAGTGGCGGTAGCGTTGGAGCGCTGTTGGAGTGTCGCACTGACTACCCATTGCAGGTGCATGCGCATGTTGCTGATTGCGGCGTTGACGTGCAGCATTTCGTCTTTGGAGCGTTGGCTCTCGTTGATGATCATCATGTTGGTGCGGCCGTCGAGGTCGGTGAGCGCGTTGGAGATACGGGATACTTCTTCGCGGAGGGAGTCGTGCAGCGTGAGGAGGTGGTGGACTTGGGAGTCGAAAGGAGGTTGGGCGGAGTTGTTGCTGTCGTTTCCGCCTGGTGGGACGGGTGGAAATGAAGCGGGTGGGAGGCGGAAGTCTGGCGTGGGTGCTTGGGGGTCGGTGTCGTTGGGGTCCAGGGGATCGGTAACAGGGAAGGAGGCGTCGTTTCCGTTGGCTGGATACAGGTAGTTTGTGATGTTGGTGAGACCGTCTTCGAGGATGCCGACTTTCCTAGTCAGGGGCTCCATTCGCGCCTCGTTTCTTTCGATGCGGGCTTGCTGTTCGCGGAAGTGGGGCGCCATGGTTGCCATTGCGCAGGTTGGTTCGTGGAGTACGACGTCGGCACGCTCGGCTTGGAACTTGCATCCGACGATGGTGCCCTGGCATGATATGACATGTTTCGGGCAGTCGTTGTTGATGTGAGGCTTGAGGTCTAGCCGCAGTATCTCAGCCGAGCAGAGCGTGCAGGTAGTCAAGCGGTTAGCACAGAGGCTCCGCTGGTGCTCTTCGAGGTCCTTCTTGAGGAGCGAAGCGTGACAGTCGTCGCAACTGACGGTGTAGTGCAAGCAGCCCTTGTGGAAGTCCTTCTGTGATATCTGCAAGCGACAGTCTGCGGCAGAGCATTCGACAGGCGTGTATTCGCAGTACAGCATGACGTGGTCGTTGACGTTGACGCGTTGGGCGACCCAGTTGCAGCCTGCCTTGGTGTTCGGGCACTTGACGACAAGCTCATCCAGCATCGTCTCGATAATCTTAGGCACCGGGCGAATGTCACTGTCGCTTTCAACAGCATGCCGGCACGTGGGACATGTCCTCTTATGCTGTGGTGCCCATGCGTGATCGAGACACTCGCGGCAGAAGTAGTGGTCGCAGGAGAGCTGGACGGGCTTATCGAAGGGGGCGTGGCAGATGAGGCAGGTGAGGTTGCTGTCGGGCGTGGAGACGTATTCTAGGCTGGCGAACTCGGGGGGTACTTTGACGATTCGGCTGTGACGGCGCTTCGTCGAGGGTGAGTTTGAGACGCGGACGGCCAAGGGCGAGGGGCTGCTGGGAGGGCCGCCGACGGGCATTCCACCATGCTGCTCTTCGGCCCAGCCAGTCCAGTTGGCGTTGCTGGACGAGCGCGACGAGCGTGAAGACCGGCGGTCGTTCGGGGGTGGGATGGGGCTTGGCGACGACATGCTGGGGGAGTTGGTGTGGTGGGTTGGCGGGAGTTGGCGACGGATAGACGCTTATGAAAGAGAATCGCGTTCACTCGCGTCGGGGCAGGTGCAGTCGGCGGTGAGATGCGCTGTCTCGGGTCTCCTCTTGAGTGTCGATCGAGGTGGCTGTGGGGGGTTTGTTTGTCAGATGGCCGCTCTGCCAGTCATCCACGGGCTGCAGAGCGCCAGAAGCAAAGACTATGTCGGGCGGTCAGGATGGCACATTCTCCCGAAGCAGAAGGGAGCATGCCGTGGCTTGGAGGTTGCGCGACAGAGCGACATGGTGCAGCCCTGGCCGCTCCCCACCAATGATGCCCCAGCCGCCCAGCCACGGCATAGTGGGCCTGTCGTCAGCGGTCCGCTCCTGGAGTGCAGCAGCCTTGCCATCTCCACTCGCGCTTTAGCTGCAACGTCGTGTGTCTGTTTCACATCCATGGATTGCTGTACGTAGACGCATCCACTCGTAATTATCAAAGTCAATCGCGCTTTCCCTCGCATCGTTCGCGCGTACCATCTCCGGCGCATTGGGTCCCCGTACCACTCACTACACCACCGCCTGCAACCAACCTTCTCCCACCACAGCCACCATGGCCACCAACCCCCCACAGCTCTTCCTCCTCGCCGACCACATCAAGCTCTCCCTGCTCGAGCGCCAACGCGCCCTCTCCCTCTCCCTCCCCTCCAACAGCCAAGATGGCCAGATCTCGCGCTCCCTGGAGCAATTGCGCTCCGGCATCGAGTCGCTGGAGTCGCAAGTCCAAGACACCTCGGACGAGTGAGCCCACCCGACGTCTTTCCATACAGGAATATTATTTACTAACACATAACCAGATCAATAACATCACAACTCCCCCGCCTACGCACCCAACTCGCAGAACTAACCGCCCAATTCACACCCACCACCACCAAATCCACTCCAACACCAACATCACCAACCCTAACCTCCCCCAACAACCCCTCCCTAACCTCCGACTTCGCCGCCGCCCAATCAAAGAAACCCGCTCCCACGCGCCAAACCTCAAAGTCCGTCCGCTTCACCGACGCCCCCTCCTCCGACTCCGACGACCCAAACCGCTCCTCCCTCTTCCCCTACCGCGACGACCCGTCAGATTCCACGCCCGACCAAACTTCTTTGGATAACGAGCAAATCCACGAATACCACAGCCGCGTAATCGCAGACCAAGACAGCCAACTCGACAGCCTGGGCGCGTCCATCGGGCGGCAGCGGGAACTCAGCATGCAGATAGGGGATGAGCTCGACGGGCAGGTCATGTTGCTGGATGATGTGGAGGAAGGGGTTGATCGGCATGCGGCGCAGTTTGTGAGGGCGAGGGGACGGTTGGATCGGTTTAGTAGAAAGGCACGGGAGAATTGGAGTTTGACTGTTATTGTGGTGTTGATTATTATTTTGGTGTTGTTGATTGTTATTACGAAATGAAAGTGAGAGTGAGGGAGGGCGTTATGTTTGGGTTAGATGGATGGCGTTCTTTTGGTGGGAGGATGGGAGGGAGGGATTAGATGTGGTTTTATTGAGATGGTATACTCAGACAGAGGGTTGTCAGTCCCATGTTGCATTAAGAATGAGACATCTATCCACTTCTCACTTTTCATCATTGCTATGACTACCGCTACAGCATACATATACTCCCACCAACACATAACCCCTACTTCAGAAGCTTTGTCGTCCTCAATCCGAGACTAAGCTGCGTCCACCGCAACAACCCACGCCCAAACGCCACGCCATGATGCAAAAGAAGAAAAGATAGAAAAAAGGCTAGTAGTGATGCGTATAGAGCTCGAAGGGTATCGCTGTATTTTGATATGCAAAGGGAGGCAACCGCTCGATAGCTGCTTGGCTCGGGCGATCTAGGAATATGACAGAAGCCATTTTCCCTGTGTTTTGGAGATATGATTGTGAAGTGGTCTGCTGCTCTCACGGCAAGCCGATCGCTTTTTTCGACTTGTCGTATACGACGTATGTGATTGAGACGGCAGGAACGACCTTGAGCAGGTTCGGCGTGAGACCCTTGAATAGCCCTCTAACACCCTCACCCGCAATGGTCTGTCTCGTGACATCCATAATGCCCGTGTACGTCCGCGGATGGAGGACAGTACCTTGACTCTGCAGTCGTGTTCGCAGAAGGTTGAGCGGGTAAACAGCACTCGCACCGAATGCGCCGGAGAACCCACCAATGGCTGCTGTCATGAAGCCACCTGGCTCGGCATCTTGCTCGTGGCATCCGAGTCGCTTCGCGTTGCGACGCGCGACGTAGCGTTTGAGGTACTCGAATGTGCCTAGATCGAGGGCTGCGTAGGGGAAGATGCCGACAATGCCCATGGGTAGACCGCGGTAGTATGCGGGTATTCCACCGGCATTCCACATCTTCTTTGCTGTGGCCCAGATCAGTCGGTTGCCGTGTAAGCCACCAGAGACGGTCTCGCATTGCATGCGACTGGGTTGGATTAGCGCGAGTTGAACGGATATCATGACTCTACTCACAACTTCAGGGTATCGATGGGGTAGACGGCGAATTGGGAGACCATGCCTGAAGAACGTCAGCGCTGGTCCGATTACATCATCCCGAGAACTCACCTGCTAGACCACCAGCAACAAACTTCGACCATGAGTGTATTATGGCGGGGTCATTGTGTCCTTCTATCTTAGCGAAGACGCGTTTCGCAGCCTGCGCGAGTTAGGGGAAGCGGTTGGTTTATTTGACTATACTTGCCTCGTAAGACCCGAATTTGATGGCCGATTCCGGCATCACTTTGACGACGTTCAAGCCGTTTCCTATTGCAAACGTCAACTCCAGTCGGCAGAAAGCAGTGACAGATACTCACCAGCGTACAAACTGCGCATGCCGCCAGCCTGCCAGAGCTCCTTGGTGGCGGTCGCAAGTGGCCTCCAAGCGTTCATGGCAGCTTTAACGATATTGCCATGCTTGGCGGCGACGACAGCTTCTTCCGCAACATTGGTCTGGGCGATGAGGTAGACTTTCAAACGATCGAGCGGAGCAGTGGAGGTGCGAGAAACAATGCCTGCAACGCCTCCCGCCACGAAATAGCCTGGATTGGGAACACAAGCAATCAGCATGGTTCCTAAGCTCTCTATAAGTCCTGCCCGTATCTCTTCGAGAGGAGCGCTGCTCGTCTCGTGTGCAGACCGTGGCGGGAGGGTACCTTGGTAGGCAAGCGTCGAAGTAGATGAAGCCATGTCGAGCGGCGCGCTGGGCTCTGGCGGAAGGGGATTGTAGGGCGGTGTGTGCGCTACAATGAAAAGGGAACCAAAGAAAAAACGAAGAAAACGCTGTGTAGTACCTAGGCCTTGGATCAAGTCGTCACTGATGGCAACGTCGCCTTCCTGGTTTACTTTCATCGTGGCGGAAAAGTACGACATTACGGCGCCGAGGTTCGGTGTGCTGACCGGAATGAATAGAAGAAAGTCCCTAATCATAGTTAGTAAGATTCGTGAAAGTCATACCGCGACTTCTGCAGAGCATGTTGACATTCTGTCGCGGTTTTAGGCCAAACGACAGTGGTCTCAGTCTGTTCGCGCTTCCACCGTGTGTGATGCCACTCCAATTCCACCCGTTGTCACGACCGCAAACTGACTGGGTACATACCGCCATTCTTCAAAACTGATGGTCCCATCATTGTTGGTGTCCACCTCCGAAAAGAACTTGTCGAGATTACTGTTGGGCACTGTGAGGCCGGCCGTTCGCAAAGCTGAGCGCAGCTCGTCCTTGGAGATCTTGCCGTCGTGGTTGTAGTCGATGGTCTGGAACAGGTGCTGAAGCTCCTTTTCGGTTTCGTGTACGAATTTGCGGAATTCTGGAATCGCGTCAGTACACGTGCAATTCGGTCAGAGAGAAGGCACCCACCGTGGTATGTGATCCTTCCATTCCCATCGGTATCTACAGCCTGCATCACCTCGTCCAGGAGCTGGTCGGCATTTTTCAAGGCTACAATGTCGGGTTAGCGGCCTAAAGTCTGCGCGCAACATCCTCCCTTACGATGATCCAGCTTCCGCAGCCCCTTTTTGAGGCCTGCGAGGTCAAGATGGCCCTGTTTGCGCGTGTCGAGAGTTGCCCATAGTTCGTCCACCCTGCCGTCGGCAACGCTTGCGCTCTGTGTGTCCATTGTCGTCCTGCTATCTCCGGTCTATCATGGCTGAGGGTCGCGACACACACGGGAGGGCGACTATCGGCACCGGGCGAGGTGAATTGCGAGAGGAATGGCTGGCTGGGAGGGACACGGGCTCGTATAGGCTTCGACGTGGGGTATGAGGTCAGTCTCAAAGCTTGGAGAGGGCGGCTGAAAGAGGCTAGCTTCCCATGCCGCAACACCGAGGGAAGCCACGACAGGAGCCTAACATTCGCTCGCATCTGATTGGACACCGCGTCTGAACCCCGACACCCCCTTCTACGCTTCACATCGCGCACTCACTTCATATCGATCATCATCCGATAATGCGTTGAGAGATTCGTTTCCTGTCGCCGTGTACCCGGCCTACTGGTTCACTGGCGTCTGTACTATCAAACTATCATCAGCCTGACGAAATCGCGTTCACTGTTGAGAAGACATCCGACAGGCTTATCGCACCACTCGAAGGGCATACGACTCCATCAAACAGTCGCTTGAGCAAATCAGTAATTTCAGCTTCACAGTATAATTTCTTGTATCGCGGTCGCCGTCATGTCGTCTAGTTACTGGGAGTCAACCCAGCGGAAGTTCTGGACTTTCACAAAGCAAGAGCTGGCACTTGAACGAAAGAGAATGGAAGATGCAGAGAGGAACCTGGTCAACCTATACCCCTTGCCAGATCGGCGGCATCTCAGCATTTACTTTTCGCATCGTCAGTAACGTGACCTGGTAATTCGGGTTTATGCTGACATATTTTAGAATTGTCAAAAATGGCAAGACCATTGGGGATTCGACAGCAAGCTCTGGCTACTGCTCAAGTATACGTCCGACGCTTCTACGCCAAGGTAGAAATCCGAAGGACAAATCCAGCGCTCGTGCTGGCAACAGCGTTGTACCTAGCGTGTAAGATGGAGGAATGCCCGCAGCACATCAGAATGGTACTGGCAGAAGCACGGCATTGCTGGGGTAAGTCATCACATGCACATCAACCAAACAATCCTAACAGGTAACAGACACATCCTTCAACGACGTCTCTAAGATTGGCGAGTGCGAATTCACGCTCATCTCCGAGATGAACTCGCAACTAATTCTCCACCACCCATACCGCAGCCTTGCGGAACTGCAGACCCAGTTCCAACTGACGCAAGAAGAGAATGCTCTAGCATGGTCTATCATCAACGATCACTATCTCACAGATCTCCCGCTTCTTCACGCACCACATGTCATTGCCATCACGGCGATGTTCTTGGCAGTCGTCCTGAAGCCCATCGGCTCACAGGTCAATGCAGCCGGGATGAACAACGCACTCCAGACGCTGGGCAATGCACGCGGTGGACAAGGCATGCAGGCGAGGATACAAAAACTTGTTGACTGGCTTGCTGAGAGCAGTGTGGATATCGAGGCTGTTGTTGAGTGCACGCAGGAGCTGATATCGTTGTATGAAGTGTGGGAGACGTATACTGATAAGACGTGCAAAGACCAGATTGCGAAGTTTGTCAAGGCAAGGGGTCTGGAGAAGTAGATTTTGGCTTGGCTCGAAGGGGTATCTTTGGAGATTGATGAGTGGGGTTTCAGTATTGGCAGCTCGACGGTATTATGAGCACTGTACGAATCTCGTACAGCCAACAAGCTCAACATACGCGAGCAAGTCTATTTTTTCTTTGTAGCTTTCCGCAGGATAAACTTGACATCTTTAATTCCCCTAACACTACTGAAGATTTGGTATGCTTGCTCACACATATTATTCAGCTCTACGTCCACCGTAACAGGTGACGCGTTTAGCTCTATCTCAAGTACGCAAACATTCGACCGTTGTGTTTCCGACGACCTGGTGCCAGACGAAACGGCTTCGCGGACATGCATTGCTTGTCAATCACAGCGGCCATGCGCCACCCGCCGCAGCATAGGGCTTCCCCAGGTATCACTGCGCTGTGCCACCACGAGCTGCGGCCACCCTGTCGGCGAGCTTATCGGCGTGGTCAGCACTTTAAGCAGTAAGCAGCCTCACAGTAGGATTTTTCATCGACATCAGTTATGCATCCAATACATGCACTTCGCCTGCTTTCATATAAATTAATACACTCGCGTCGAGTTGCGCATTTCACAGGGTAGAGAGACGATCAAATGAGCGTGTTTCGAGCTGAAGTGGTTGTTCATGCGAGAAAGCTTGGCCCGTCGCAGAAATGTTTGCGAGTGATGGACGTCACGGCACTTCACGATGGTCAGGTCAGGGTCCGATGGAGAGGTCGCGATGCCCGTCATGAAGTACCCATAACACGACCGTCACGACGACATGACACCAAGATGGAGTGACGACAGCCTGCCTAAGGGCGTCGATCACTGGACAGGCCGTCGAGCGTCCGGGCCGGGCAGAACGAAGACATTGCGCTATTTTGGTCTCAGCTAGTGGCGGCGTCCCATTGGCTAGAGCACTGTGTCCCAGCCGTCGGGACGTCACACGAGATGAAGCCCGGGCGTGTTCGGAAACACTGACGGGTGGAAAACGTCTCGCATGGCCGTCGGCGTTTAGACACTGGCATCGGAGGTGCAACGGCGTGGCCCAGAGGCAGATGTTCGCATGGTGTCGCGCTGGTCAGCAGGTGGTCGTGGTCTCAACAGATTCATGGACAGGCGGGTGCTTGAGCTGGCATTCCAGAACATGGGCAGTGCGTCGTAATGGTAGGGATTGGCAGGCGCCGTCGGCAGGGACTCGGCGGCCACGAGCGAATCCTGGCATGGGCTCAACCACGGTGTCAAGCTGCTGCTGGCCGTCGCAGGCACAGGTGCGTTAGCGTTCAGTCGTCGGCAAGGGCGGCCGCATCGCAAGTGCAAGTCCCGGAGGCTTCTGGAGGGCGGCCTCGAGGGGACAGGCGGTGGTGGCAGTGGCTCGGATGGGCAGCCTGCATTCCCCTGGCGACGGCGGTAGAGGTGCGGAAGAAGCGGTCAGGGCGCAGAAGACGGTGGGTGGTCACTTGCCAGCCAGCTCACAGCCTCGCTGGGCTGGCAGCTCCTAGCGTCATGTGTCGCATAAGGGCTGTTTGACGATGCGCCGCCGCCCGGGATTTACTTTTGCGCGCATCCTCATCTGAGTTTATCTGGTGTCTATCGATTAGGTGGACTAGGAGTGCGCGATAGGCGTGGCCGACTATTGAACCAAGCTGGCTCGATGCTCGAGGCAGGAGGGATGAAGGCGCTGGCCCGGGAGGCGATCCGTCTGCGCACACCTGGCGGCGTCTCTGACCTCGCAGCGCAGAAGCGTGCACAGGGCGCTAACGGCGAATCCCTGCGGCGCTAGAGCGCTTCGAGTCCAAGGGGGCGCTGGAGTGGCGAACTAGCAGGGCTGCGAGCCAATCAGGCGGGCCTCGCACTAAAATCGAGGCACTCGGACACCACACATCTCGTTTGACCCAGCCTGTTCATCTCCAGCCCTTTCGCTCCTCCTGCTCCTCGCACTTCTGCACCGCATCTCTCACCACATCTTCTCAGCCTCGCATCGCAATACCCGTAGTTAATAACTAAAACCACCCGCATCTCTCTCGCACACCGCAGCTGCATCTTGCACCACCGCTACCCGCCGTTTTCCGAGCTATACCCCTTTGTTTCGCCTTTGTTGTGGTCGCCCTGCCTGGCTTACAACACAACCCCTCCCCGCCCAACAGTCATCCCAACCACAACCACCACAAACCACCACCGCCAACATGTCGCAATTCTTCAACTACGGTGCCCAGCAGCACCACCCCCAGCACCTCAACGCCCACACCCACAACCACCACGGCGGCCGATCGCGGAGGGCGCCCCGGATCTCGGCCCAGCAGCACAACAAGCAGTTCCGCCAAGTCCGCACCCCCAAGGAGTTCAACGTCGAGCCCCCCACCCTCATCGCATACAAGCGCGACTTCGAGGCCGCCCGCTCATTCGACATCGAGGACGACGAGATGTTCTGCCCCTTCCACCTGCTCACTGAGGATGATGTAAGTCGCCAATATTTGCCACCCGCCCATGTCGTCGACTCCGCCTGAACTGGCGCTGACACTCGATGAACAGTTGCAATCCATCCACTCGTCCGGCTCAGACCGCTCGTCGCTATCGAGCGGCTCGCCTGAACAGTCGCCGCTTCAGCACCAGCTGCAGCCGACCCCCTCGTTTGTCCTGTCCTCGGCTCCCAACCCGTACACCCCCGTCGGATTCCAACAGAACAACTCGCAAACCAAGCTGCACCAGCCGCTAGCCCAGCGCACACGCAATGCCATCCCCATCGTCGACCCCTCAACACGCGCTGTTGCCAGCCCACCTCCCTCTGTCTCCCCCAACCGACAGATGCAGCAACAGTTCATGTCGCGACGCTGGTAAAGTCTTGCAGGCACGCGGCCGAGCGTCTTTATTCGGTCAACATTGCGGCGTCTGAGTTGCTAGGCTAGTGGCTACCTGGATCTAATCCTCTTCTTCTCGATATCCACCGGCTCTCCCTGTATAAATCACGATATCTTCTTCGACATCTTGGGTATACCACTTGAACGGGGCAACGGCGTTGCAATTATAGCGAAAAACACATCATTTCCGGATAGAGCGCTTTGCTCCTTGCTTTACAAGCGCTAACGCATTAACGGCGGTTTGCACATAACGGTGTTTCTGGGTCTCGCATTTCTGGCTATTCCTATTGGAAAAACTTGTTGGTTACAGAACGGTGTTTCTGTATCTTTGTTGCCCGGCTGCGTCTCGTCGACGTTTGCCATTACAAAGGGTAGATTTCCTATGTGCGGTTGGCTTATCTCTCTCTCTCGGGTTTCAAGCGGTCGGTATATACCATTTGTTGGGCGCCTATCTTGCGAAAGCGACGGTGTCTGAGCGTACATGTTGTGGGAGTCATCAATCGGTGGTGTTATCTTTTGGGTTCCTCTTCGCATTGTCACAAACCACTACTCTTTGTTTGGTAGTAGTTGTTTGTTGTACGGACGACGCTGGGATGATTCTACGCAGTCATTGGGCGCTGGAATTCGCTTTTCCGTCGGTGTTGCTCTCTCTTCTCATCTTTTTGTCTTGTTTCTGCTTTTCCAACTGTACGAGGATTTATACGACGACAACAACACCCCCCAAAGGAGTAGGCGTGGGTTGTGTGTGGTTTGCGATTGATCTTTCTTTCTTGGATGTCGTCTTTTTCCTTTTTTTCGCTATTATGCGACATCTCTCCTTAGATGAGAGCTCTGTTCTCTCTCTCTTACCTTATATCTACACGCCTCGATGGCTCTTTGGAGTCTTCGGGGGCAGTGACATATCCTAGGAATGGAATCTACGCAATCTTTGTTCAAATCATCATCCACTATTGTATTGCATGCTGTGAATTATCGACTCAAAAAACGAAGATCAAAGTACTTCTTACAAGCATGGTACCGAGCATGTTCGCCCGGTACCGAGCTGGATAACTCGAGATAAGATCGTTATCAACCCCGCACGCCAATGCCACGCCGCGGGCCCCAGCTCCCCTTCACACTCCGTCAGCTCAGCTCTTCTCAGCGGCCATTCAGGTACAAGGCTAGGCTCTTTCCCCCGGACTTCCGACTCGATGCTAGTCTGACTAAGATCACTGCATGCAGGCTAGTTTCAAGGGGGGGAAGCTATGCCGATTCGTAGCCCTGTAGTCTTGCTTGGGTGGCGTGAGTTGGTAGGCCAGTCTGGTGACAGACGATCCGTAGGTTAAACTTTAGATAAAGGTCCCTGAGGAAGTTGTCACGAGGTAATGTTCTAGACTAGTTGCTAAGTGCTAGTGCACCGCTGCCCTGGGGTCGTTTGCGCTGCGTGGTTGGATGGCACGAGCGGGAATGGGGCAGTGGTGTGGTAAGGATTGGAGTGGGTGTATTGGTTGTTTGTTTTGTTTTTCTGTTGATGGTGTTGTTGTTCGCGCTTGAGGTGTAGCTGGAGCTCGGGGGCTAGGTAATGAGAAAGGGAATATCCGTGGTATAGTAGCTAGGAGTTGGAGACGGGTGACTATTAAGATGGGGTCTTGATACATGCTGAATCCGCGGTTTGGTGACAGATTGATGAGGTATATACGCGTTGTATGCTTATGGATTACTTGTTGTGCTACCGGACGAATCGCATTAGACGTAGCTCGTCATATCTTATTAGCGTACCAGCTATAGTAAAGGAGATATCGGGGAATCGAGTTGCGCTAGTATGTGAAGTATCATGACAATCACTACAGCTTGTTATAGATAGGACAAATCTCCCGATGTTTATCTAGAGATTCAGATCAAATGGCTTGTTGGATGCACTTGTTTAACAGCAGACATGATATTGACCTTGTTTAGCGGTACCACGGATTGAGAAACCACAAGGATGTTTAAGTCCCAAACGCGTATTGTTCGAATGGAACTCGCGATACTCTCAAACTTCAATAGAGAGATCGCGAGTTGGCTGCTGCTAATCGAGGCCCGCATCTATCGACTAATTAGTAGAAACTCATAGCATACGTAGCAGTTACACCAACGCACGGGTGAAAAATAGCGTCATCAGAATCCGCTTTCT